AGTTTGTTAGTGAGACCAGTTTGTTCATAATGAGTTGATTACATACACTATCACATTGACCCTCCGTAAAAGACAGTGAGAAGCTCTCCCCCCCCCAAAATACTGTATGTCTTCCTTTTATTACTGACCTAGAACCTTTAGAGACCTTATAGTTAAGATATCTATATCTGTATCTATATCTATATCTATATCTATATCTATATCTATATCTATATCTATATCTATATCTATATCTATATCTATATATCTATATCTACACCTATACCTATACCTATACCTATACCTATACCTATACCTATACCTATCTATTTTGTTCTAGAGCTGTCAATTTTAGGTTGACTCTAAATTTGAGGCTGATTAAATTGTATTTATCTCCTCCAGATGAGTGTTGGATATAGAATATAGTATCACTGCAGGGGTAGTTGGAGAAGACGTGCTCTCATTGTCACCAAATAGTTTCCATGTGTTCATTGCAAAAGAAAATGTCTCCTTGAAATAGGTGTTTCTCTGATTGACTATTGTTTTCATTTTCAACATTTTCTTTCCCTTTTTTTTTAAAAAAAAAAAAAAGTATTTTATTGATTTTTTACAGAGAGGAAGGGAGAGGGACAGAGAGTCAGAAATATTGATGAGAGAAAAACATCCATCAGCTGCCTCCTGCACACCCCCCACTGGGAATGTGCCTGCAACCAAAGTACGTGCCCATGAACGGAATCAAACCCTGGACCCTAGAGTCTGCAGGCCGAAGCTCTATCCATTGAGCCAAAGTGGTTTTGGCCAACATTTTCTTTTCTTATGTGTAGTTTCATCTGATCTGTGAAACAAGGGACCATCTCTTATTTTTTGCACAGAGTCTTGGGTATAGCAAGCTTTTAGTAAACAGTTGTTGAATAAAAACCCTAGTGTCTTTTGTCCAATGACAAGATATAAGGTCTTGTGCATTTTACCTATCTGTTATGAGAATGGATTCTTTATGTGAAAAAATTAGAACAATCAAATGAGATGAGTGAATTTTGAATAGGAGTTCTATAAACTGTGGATGCCTCAGTAGTAGCTGTGAATGGTGATGGCAATGAACAGAGGTTGGGATTTCCACACAGATTTCAGCTAAATCAACTTTGTTTTCCTCTTTTATTCATTAATTAGTAGCATGTTATTAAAAACATAGATATATTTTAAAATATCACACTGATGGTCATTGTAAATTATTGTAACTAAAGATTTTATAATTTCCTCTTACCTCTAAAATGTTCTGCTTCAATGGCTGATTTTCATTTGAGTAAGTAATCGAGTTGAAATTACTTTTTTTGTTGAGGTTAGAATAAGGTTTATTAATTTGAGGTTTCTGTATATTTGCCCAGAGCAAAATTGTAATCTATTTTTACTAAACTTCAATTGAAATTCAGTACTCCTTGTGCTATCATTGTCACCAATAGAAATTACAGACATTTTTATATGATACTGAATTTGTGGCAATTATCCCAAATTAGCATTTATGGTCATCAGTCACTATACTGAAATTACAGTATTATTTAGTCCTCCCTGGATAAAGTACCATATATATTTCTTTCTCAGAAGTTTATTTGATAAATGTATTTTAATATATGTTTAATTTTCTCCATAATCCTCTTTTAAAATGTACCTTTAAAACAGTCATAAACATATAGAAAAAGGGCTTGGGATTGCAGACCATTATGCTAAGTGAAATAGGATAGTCAGAGAAAATAGGTATCACATGATCTAATTCATTTGTAGAATCTAATGAGCAAAATAAATTGCTAAACAAAAATAGATTCAGAGATATGGAAGCATCAAACAGACTGTTGAATCTCAGTGGGAAAGCAGGGGAGGGTTAATGGATGCGGAGAGGTCAACCAATGAACTTACATGAGTATATACATAATTCATGGATACAAACAATAGGGTGGTGAAGGCCCAGGATTGGGGGATGGGAGCGGGCTGGATGAGGCCAGTGGGATAAAATGAAAGGTCATATGTAATACTTTCAGCAATAAAGGTTAAAAAATTAAAAGTTTAAGACAAAAACGAAACTTAAGGAAAAACATATTTTGGAATAGGTATATGAATACTAGTAATCTGAATAAAATAAAAAGGATACTAAGAAAAATATATAGAGAGAAAGAGTGCTAATGGCATAATGTGATGCTACAAATGTCCTGATTTAGTTGGCGAGACAGCTGATAATTATTATTTTGGAATAAGCAGCTGTAAGACCACAGATACTTTCAACACCTGTCAGTGATAGACCTCAGCAGCTGTACCTATTTGGTAACAATTAGCCTCTTTCACCCAGTGTGGTAAGTTCAGGGTCTGCGTCTCACTGTACTCAAGTCATAACTATATCACCTTCCTGAACAGGAAGTTGTGTTTTGGTATTCTTTCTCTTTGTTTCAGCAGTTTATTTATCCCTACATAAATCCACCTTTTTAAAGATACTTTACTGAGTATGTTTTTTCCACCTTCCCATGATCCTTTCACATGTTTCTTTTAATGTGTAATGTGTAAAACTCATGGTTTTCCTTGTCTATGCACTCCTCTCCCACCGTGGGCACCTGAGGTTTGAACAGGGTCAACGCCACCTATCTCTGTGATGCTGGGCACCAACTGGGATCAGTTTCCATGGATGGGCATGGGACACATGTAGAACTCAGGTGACTCTATTCTGGAATTTTAATAGGAAAAGTGTCACATTTCTTACTCTGGCTTCTAAGAGAAAGGCGCATAACCAGGCCATGACAACTACCTTCCCCTGGAAGAAAAGCAACTGCCTGAGAATGAAGCTGACATGGAAGAAAGCACTCAGAGACAGGAGGAGGGAAACCCTCAGGCCCAAAAGACAAGGTTTAAAACATGCCTGGAGTCAATTCTACATCTGGACTTCTCAGCTATGGAAGCCTATTGGAGAAGGTAAAGAAAGGACATAACCGCCTGCTGACCCTCAAGCTGGACTCAGCAATTAGAGCTTCCTCACCCCCTCCTCGGTCCTGGGAACGTATGTTCTGTTCACAGTTCCCACAGTGGAAGCTGCTTCAAGGACACAACGTGAGAGGATAATGTATTGTTGAGCCAATATGGGCTGAATATGTGACTGAACCCAGAAAGGCTTCCATATAAACTTTGAAGATTCTGGCAGATGGGTACAGAGATCTACTAATCTTCCCATCACCCAAGACAATTGCAATCAACAATTCTCTCATGGTAGAACTGTGCACACACAAATGCTTCTTTCCCTTATCAATAGTTGATTATCTAAACTTACCATATTTTTCTAATTTCTTGTCAAAGTGGCATTTTATATTTCTAAGCATCCATTACAGCAGTGTTTCCCAAACTTTTTTTTTTTTTTTTTTTTTTTTAAAAATATATTTTATTGATTTTGTACAGAGAGGAAGGGAGAGAGATAGAGAGTTAGAAACATCGATGAGAGAGAGTCATCGATCAGCTGCCTCTTGCACACCCCCTACTGGGGATCTGCCCGCAACCAAGGTACATGCCCTTGACCGGAATCGAACCCGGGACCCTTCAGTCCCCAAGCCGACGCTCTATCCATTGAGCCAAACCGGTCCTGGCGAAACTTTTGACATATGTGTACCCCTTCTATAATTTTCGTAATGCTGAGTACCCCTCGTACTCATGAGAACATAGAATTAGGCACAGCTAAGCACGGTGCAGTGCATATCCCCACCCAACTCTGGTGCAACGCGTACCCCCACCAAGCTCTTCCCGTACCCCTGGGGGTACGCGTACCACACTTTGGAAAACACTGCATTACAAAAAGGTGAGGGGTAGGTGGGGGGCGGATTTAAAAGTGGAAGCTTCATGATGCCCCAAGGGAAATGATGTGTTCTGGGTTCTTGTGAGGCAGAACACAAAGTACAATGAGCCTGACTGACATGGCTCAGTGGTTAAGTGTTGACCAATGAACCAAGAGATCATGGATTGATTCCCAATCAAAGCACATGCCCAGGTTTCGGTCTTGGTCCCCAATGTGGGGCATGCAGAAGGATGCCAATCAATGATTCTCATCATTGATGTTTCTAGCTCTCTCTTCCACTCCCTTCCTCTCTGAAATCAATTTTTTTAAAGTATAATGAAGTAAATAATGCCTTTTAGTCCAGGCCTTGCATTTTTGCTATAACAAATTATTACAGACTAGGAGGCTTATGAAACAATGGCAAATTATTTCTCACAGTTCTGGAAACTGAAGTCCAATGTCAAGTCACCTCCCTAGTCACATTCTCTTCAGGGTGTTCTTCCTGGTTCATAGCTGGCACTTCTTGCTATGTCCCCACAAGATGGAAGGAGCAAGGGATCTCTCTAGAATCTCCTTTTAAGGCAATAATCCAATTCACAGGGGTTCCACAGTCTCAAGCATCTCACAACCTCTCTGCCTACTCATCCCTCCTCACCTTTAGATTTTAGTATTTTTGACATATGAATTATAGGAGGACACATATTTATTTAGACAATAGCAATGCCTCCCATTGAAGCCAGAAGAAGAATAGTTGTCAAGTGATGAGTACATGTGGATGATTCCATTTCCAATGAAGAAGATTTTATGCATTGTGGTGAGAAGTCGTTTCTTACACTGTCACTGTGTTGGAGGCTTTGAGGAATTGTAGCTGAAGCATGCTGAACTTTTAAGCATATGGAGTTATGGCACATGGAGAGAGCATTTTCTATTTGGGAAGACAAAGTACACCAGTTTGATACCACTGGATCTTGAATTTCCCAGACATTTTTCTGAGCTGCTTTGATGTCTTTTCTCCTTTATAATCTTCTCAAGTAACATAAAATTGACTTAATGAGGTGAATTAAGCAAGTGGAAACTGAGCATGCTCAATCGTTTAGGAAAATTTTGGGTTATATCGATAGTTGGCAGTCTTTTACACAATTCCATATTCTAGTTGTAGGAAAAAAGGAATTTCCCATGTTTCCATGAATGTGCAAGGTATGTATCATTTCTTAGTATCTGGCTTGTGAGCTTTCTTGGAAGAATAATATCTGAGGTCAGTACACTCAAAACAATATAATTGAATTTGGACATAATAAGGAAAGTTCACAGCTCAGAAAAGATCAGTGAGGAAATGGTGACCTAGGTAGGTGATTTGTCTGAATCTGTAATGCTTTTAGGAAGCAATAGCCGGGGCTGAAGGCTTATTCTGGACAGTTGCTGTGAGGAAGGTGGTTGGAGAAAGTACATCTGCCTTCCTTCCAGGTGTACGAAGTCGTCGAGCATGATAGTCTTCATTTTCCTAGGTAAGTGAATTATGCTCTGGTTTATCTGAATTCAGAACACAAATTCTTTGGGCACTGAATGCTTTCCTATGTAACTTAACTCTTGATTAAGCTAAGAGGGGCTTGTAATATGAAGTATAAATTGTATTTTTTATTTTAGCATGGTTTATGACTTTTGCAAAATTTACACTTACATTTGCTCATTTATTATTACAGAAGATACATAATGTAAGAATTGCATTAATTACTTGGGTTGCTTCTGTTTTAGTGTATAGGATAATTTAGTTACTTTGAGTTATTTATTAGGACTTATGAAACTCACATATGTATTAGAACCTTTTAGAAATAAAACCTTCCAGTATCTATTTACAGGTTATAAGATGACAAAATTCAAATTATTATCTATTTTCTTTAAAATTAAATAAAAATGAAATTAATTTAAACCATACAATCCTCCTACTTTTAAGGTGTTTATATTTAAAAGGTAGGAGTCACTTATAGAATAAAATAACACAAAAGCAAATTCTTAACCTTTCAGTCAGTTTCTGTGACCTAGAGATAAAGTATGGATATCTCTCTCTTATATTAGGTAGTGTAGTTCTATTGTAAGATGTTGGTAAGAAAATAGTTCTACTTAAAGTAGAATTCATGAGCTCTATTTGACATATGTGTTTTTGGAGAAGTTATATTTTCTTCAGCATTTAGTAGAATATGTAAAAAGAATAAAAGAGATATTTGTGATGATAGCTGAATATCAATAATCCACTCATTATACCAAAGCCAATATATTTTCAGCTTATGTTATAATAATAACTTTTGATAAATAAAGACATAATTATGGGAAAGAAAACAGAAAAGTCTATTTCAAATTATGTTAAGCACAAAAGGATAGTTAAAATAAATCAAGTCAAAAAAATTAAGGCAAGAAGGGAAAACATGTTTAACATGTTTTTAGTTTTTCTTAGGTTTAAGTAATAGTTTTCCGTGTTCTAAAAATTTGCTTCTTATATTTATTTCTAACAATAGTAATTTCTTATTTCTATTCTTTATTATAAAGAGAATCTAGGAGAGTTTAACTTTAGTAGATCAGGTAGCCATATCACAAAAAATAAAACATATTACAACCTCATTATGTTTGTGTTGAAAAGGCAATGGTGGCTTCCTGTTTTCAACTTTTACTTCTAGATAACCTTGACACGAGGTTGCATGAAGGAGAGAAATAATTTCCATTACTCACAGGGTTAAAATAGTAATATTTCATAGTCTTTACCAGTATTTACCACAGTTCATTCTTCAAAATGCTTGTTTAATGTTATCTAAATAGGTCTTGTGGGAAAGTCCAAAAAAAATGTGGGACATAGTGAATTATTAAAAGAGTATTTAATATCCTAGTGAGCCTTTTACATCTTTAAGAAGGTAAATATAATGTGTAACAGTCTTCATCATATTCATTTTAAAATAGAACTTATTTTCACTGAACACTTCAAGAAAACCCTTGAAAACTTCTGGGCTAAATACAGTCACAAATCCCAGTTAGGAATTAATAAGATTTTGGAAAGTTGAAGAACTTTGGAGTTGTGTGGGCCAAATTATTGAGATGGGTTTTTCTAGTTGATTCAGTGTTTCATCTGAGTGGAAGTATGAAAAAGCATGTAAAATAAGCCATCAGTGAATTGTTCAACCTAAATATTTAAATGTGAAAGAAAATGAAAGGGATTATGGAAAGACATTAAGTAGAGTTCATTAATGATTATTGCTTGAGATACTGGTCAAGTTTCAATGATATATCCAGGAGACCATCACCTATAAGTTGGTTGAGGGAGATAATTATAAGATATAATGATCAATGGCAAATAAGAATTCCTGACATAAAATCCTTACTTCAGGGTGTTCAGCAAACTTGATTTAAACAAGTAATCTTGGACCAGAATCCAAAGTGCTCACTTTATCTTTCTCCAAGTTTGCTAACCTAGGACTGGAGCTTGGCTAGATGAGGTTATACATGAACACATAAACAACAAACAAAACTGTTATGTTAATTTTTGCTCCAGTCCTCAATTAAAAAAAAAAATGTGACCAAACCTCACCCATGGGTCTAACCTTCAAATATATTGTAGTGACCCAGACAGTAGTATATATGATCTAATCAGTTGTCTTGGATTCTCCTTATGAGAAGAAATTAGAAAAGATAAATAAAATATTTTAAGCCTATAATTTTATATTGTCACAGATGATTAATTATATCACCTTTTTAAAAATTTATATAATTTGGCTCTAGTTAAAATATAGCTAAATGTCTCTTGATTTTATTAATATCTATCTCTGTAATTCATTTGTAATTTTCATATTTTTCTATGGATTGATTAATCATGCTTCAGTTTTCATGCTTACAGAATCAATTTGAGTAATTTGTACAATATGCTAAATTAACATTGCTCCTTTCTTGATATTTTTAGAAAACTTTCTGGAACCTCTACTCTTCTATTAAAAATAACTTATAAATAGCTGGAAGGTATAATTGTAATAGAATATTATATGTTTTTTATATGTCACTCATCCATAAACAGCTATTTGAGTCGGTGTAAGTTAACACTCATTCATTATATATCTATAACACATGATTGTGTTTGATGAGGAGGATACAATTATGAATTACCTCTAATTCCAATAAAACCCTAAAATCCAATTGTGAAGACAAGCACACTTTTATTACCGAGTAATAAATGAGGAATTCCCAAAATTGTAGTGAAACAAATGAAGGGTATTAAGTTCTATTTGGATGTAGGAAAAGGGGGTATTGAATTAAGGGACAGTTTCTATAAAATAGGTAATTATTATGTTAATCCTTAAAGGACAAAAAAAAAAAAAGTTATTCCAGAAGAAAAAGAGTACCTATATAGCAAATGCTCAGAGGTACAGGATAGCCTGGAGCATTTGGGAAACCATAAAGAATATAAGTCATGCTATGAGGAACCATTCAAAGGATAAAGTAGAGAAATGACAGTACTAGATATTGTATTAGACAATTTAGGGCATGTAAAGAATGTATCTGAATAGATGAAATTGGAGTCAGACTGATTAGTGAACTGATCAAATATACTAGATGACAGCCAATGAATTATGCATGAGTGTATATGAGAGAGTGAAGTTCAGGATAGAAAAGGAATCTAGGACAAATTCAAGGTTTTTAGTTGGGTGCCTATGTGAATGATGGAATTACTGATGAAGTTGGGTAGTCCATCAGGGAATATAACTATGAAGTCAATATTAAATATATTATTGTCTGGAGGTGTGTATGGAACATTAGGTAGGGTTAACAGCATTTATATCTGGAATTCTAAAAAATGATGGGATTTAATTATACATTTGAGAATCCAGTCTGGAGATATTAGTTAAAATGATGAGAATACATGGAATTATCCACAGAGAATGTGTAAAATAAGAATGGAAAAAGTGTGAGGAAAGAACCTAAACTAAAACTATACATTAACAGAAGAGTAGGAGGATCCAGGGAAGGATTCTGAGTGGTCAGAAATATCAAATGAATAAGTTTCAAGAGAACTAGAAAAAGAGGAAGAGTTTCAAGAACAAAATGACAACAAAATGCCCAAATGATCAAAATAGACAAGATGAAGTCTTAAAACTATTAAAATTTGATGTTATAAAAATGATTAGGACATTTTAAATACCAGTGTCAATGGAGTATTAGTCATAACAATAAATTACAAGTTGAGAAATAGACAGTAAAAGAGAGCAAATACAGATTATTCATTGAAGAATCTTATATAGGAGAAATATAGACCTAAAGCTAGAGAGGAGGTAAAGATCCATTCCAATCTTGAATGGTCTCATCACATTTTATTTTCCATAATTATGCTCTTTATCATTAATGACTTAGATCTGAGGTAAATAAGTATCATACTGTAATAAAACTTTTTTTTCTTTTTTTTTTTCTTTTTGGTCCTGTGATTGTTGCGATTCAAGCTATGGGGCTGTGCTCAGAAAATAAATCCACTTCCCAAACCATTGACTGCACATATTTGAGAGACCAATGCCTAAGTGATGTGAATGGATGTAAACATGCCTGGAGAATTATGGAAGATGCCTGCAGTGTTTCAGGTAAAACAAATTGTTCAAATGATTTTCTTTTCCTGAGATAAGACTAGGATTTGATATTTTCTTTCACTATCTGGTAAACTAAGTTAGTTTTGCTCTAAATACTTTACTCAAATGTGGTACTCAAATGATTTGCCTGCAATTGCTTATTAGTGAATTATAATTATAAAATGATATTCTTAAATTACTCAAAGGGTCCTAAATGTATTGGCACTAGGGGCAGCATTATGCAATATTTCAGCCTATCTTTTTTTACTTAGCTCTTTATGTATAATGTCACAATTATATGTATGCATCTCAGAAGCATAACAACAAATTTTCAAGTCAAATTTCTTCAACTTACATGTTAATATTTCAATGACAAAATAGGGTAATAATGTTTGTGAAGATCAAAGGCATTATTATTTATTTGTAAGTATATAACATGCATTCTATATTCTCACAACATATACACTATTTTGCATTCCAACTGTATCAAGAGCATGTTAAAGTATATTATTATTTATAATTTGTTCTACATTCCAAATATTTAAGGAAAGGCCCAAAAAGTAGAGAATTTAAAGATTAGAGGATCATTGTTACTTATTTAAAACAAAAACAAAACAAAAAAGCACGTTCTAAATATATCAAGTAGCTGAATAAATATTAAGTGAGACATTATAGGAAGACTCAATTTTAGATAATCTGGTTATATAGTAGGACATTGCCCTAATAGTACTATGACAAAACATCATATTCTAACATAATGATAATTGTATCATCCTGTGTAGTGAATATGTAATACAATAAAACCTGATCATATTTCTGGACTATTCAATAAAAGAAATCCAAAAAGGAAAATAAAAATACACTCAGTGGCCAGATTATTATAATCTCTGAATTCATAATAATCTGGACACTCAATGTGTGTGTGTGTGTGTGTGTGTGTGTGTGTGTGTGTGTGTGTTAGAGGCCCAATGCATGAATTTGTGCATGAGTGGGCTCCAGCCAGCCTGGCCAGGGGGAAGGGACATGGTTGGCCGGCCTGCCTGCTGGTCAAACTCCTGATCGAGGGGACAATTTGCATATTAGCTTTTTATTATATAGGTTTTACACTGAGTGGCCAAATTATTATGTGTTCAGAGATCATAATAATCTGGCCACTCAGTATATATCCTCCCTGAATCACTTTACCAGTATTTCTCCATCCATTTCAGAAAGAGTAAATTCTATACAGCTCATAACTCTTGCCTTCTACCTGCTTCTTCTACCTTCCAAAAGATGTCAGGTGGAGTGTGTTGGGTTCAGAGGCAGCGACCTGTAGTTGTGATAATGTCCAAGTGTTCGGTTCCCAACAGCAGAGCTGCAGGAATTACATGGCATGCAGCAGAAGGGAGAGAGAGTTCCTTCTCTTCCCTGCACTTCAAGGGAGGTCATGGGCTGTTCATACTCCAAAGAAAGATACAGCACTCTAATCCAAACATTCTTATTAGTGTTTAGGAAAAGGTTTACAAAGGCATAATTTGCTCAAAGTGACACAATATTTTTAAGTGAGAATAGAGGATAATGACCAAAAAACCATCTATTATTTGTTTTGATGATGAAGCTCCTTGTTACATTTTATATGGCAATTTAAAATATCACCTTCAATGTGGTGTTTATTTCAGTGCACAAATAGCAGCAAATTGCAACGTTTGCATAATTATCCCATGCATGAAGCTCAAATCCACAAATGAAAGGATATCAAGTAGTTTTATTCAGAAAGATGAAAAAAAGAAAGTTGTTGAATATATGAATGCTTTTTTTAAATTAAAGCAGAAAATGAATTATTGGCAATTATGAAAGACTTGTAATTAAATAATATTTATTGACTGCTTTCTGAGTGTAAGAACCACTTCATTTTCTATGGTAACTATAGAGCCACCTACACATCTCTTGTTATAATCTTAGAATGATGTGAAATAAAATTGCAGATTAATACTAATTAGCTCCTGAAATAGCTAAACTGACAAAAGAGCATTCTGGTCACCTCATAACAAGGGCAGTTGTGATTATTATTGGAGCAAAACTAGGCATTGTAAGTGGAGCAATGCTATTTAAAAACGTGGAAAATTTTAATTTACTTTAGGGATTAATATTTTGGGAAAACAACAGTAATATATATTTTTATTTTTTATTTTTAAAAAGTAACTTATGAACATTATATAGCAAACTCAGAAAATCTTAATATAATAATGAATTATTCAGCCCTGGACAGGTGGCTCAGTTTGTTGGAGCATTGTTCCATCCACCAAAATATTTTAGATTTGATTCCTAGTTAGAGCACATCCCTGGGTTATAGGTTTGATATCCTATCAGGGAATATATGGGAAGCAACTTTCTCTCTCTCTCTCTCTCTCTCTCTCTCTCTCTCTCTCTCTCTCTCTCTCTCTCTCTCTCTCTCTCTCTCCCCCTTCCTCTCTAAAATCAATACAACATATCCATGGGTGAGGACTATATAAAATAATAACAACAATAATAAATTACTCAGATTAATGTTAAAAGCACTTTGGATAAAATTATATTTAAATTAATGTCTGGAATGCTATATGTTTGACTGTGAAATCCAGGTGACCCCTGCAGGATGAAGAATTCATCAAGCTGTAATCTGGGCATCCAATCCTTAGTGGAAACCAGTTTCCAATTTAAAGATTGTCTCTGTACTGATGACTTTTATTGCACTGTTAACAAATTGCTTGGGAAAAAATGCATCAATGAATCAGGTAATATATTGTTATATGGAATATTTAAAGTCACAAAAAAGAAAAGTACAATTTTAAAATTAATTGCATCTAATACATTTTATGAACTTTTAAATAATTTGATTGTCTTCAAGCAACTGAAGATTCTGTGAGCTGTACATCTCAATATCTGCATAACATAGTATTTCTATAATTACACTAAAGTACTCACCTCTTCTTTCACAAGCAACCTTCTCCCACCCTATAAACAACAGGCTTTCCTCTCCTCTATCTTGAATGGTCCCACTGTCCAATCCCTCTATTATGCATGGTGACCTCATTCAACACTTTTTTTTTTTAATCTATAATTATGCCTTTTCCAGATGAAGGGAATTATATAACATGCAACCTTTTTAGCCTGATTTCTTCTACTTAACATAATTTATTTGTGATTCATCATTGTTTCATGTAAAAGTTTGTTCCCTTTTTTGAGGAGTCTATGTTAGAGCACAGGTTGGTTCACCATTAAGAGTCACTTGAGTTTTTAGGAATATAAATAAAGCTGCTATACATATTCACAATTAAGATTTGTACAAATATATGTTTTTATTTCTCTTGGGTAAGAAATTGTTGGGTCATATGATAAAGTTTACTTTTAACTTGTATAAAAAGCTTCCAAACAACATTTCAAATTTGGTTTAACCATCAATATATAAAAGTTCTAGTTGCTCCACATTCTCAGAGCATTTCACTTATTCCCATCTCAATACATATTTAGAGGCCCCACACTATGGTTGTGATTTGCATTTAAAAATAATAACATTGAGTATATTTTCTTTCTTTTTTTTTAATATATGTTATTGATTTTTTACAGAGAGGAAGGGAGAGGGATAGAGAGCTAGAAACATCGATGAGAGAGAAACATCGACCAGCTGCCTCCTGCACACCCCCTACTGGGGATGTGCCCGCAACCAATGTAAATGCCCTTGACCAGAATAGAACCTGGGACCTTTCAGTCCACAGACTGATGCTCTATCCACTGAGTCAAACAGGTTTTGGCAACATTGAGTATATTTTCAAGTGCTTGTATGCCTCTCTATGATTTGTAAGTATTTCTTCAAAATTTTGCTCATTAAAAATTTATTATGCTTAAAGCATATATATATATATATATATATATATATATATATATATATATCCCCTAAACAGATATATAGTATATCTATGGAATTAAATTTTTAAGAGAAAGTAGGGGAATTATTTTTGAAAATCTCTCTAAAAAGGCTTAAGGGGGAAATAATGTAAAAGTTTAACAAACGCTTTAGTATAGGTACCAATCATTGTCAAAATATAATGAAAAGACAAAAGTATCTGATGAAGACAAATATTTTTAAAATGCCCATTATTTGGTAACACAAACTAGTGTTTGATATCTCAATTTTTAACAGTTCAAGATTATTTGTCATAGCACTCTGGAAATAACTTTAATGACTTTTGAAAGACTGTAGATAATGAAATATTTATTAAGGATATGTCTATATTCCTTTTAGAAAACATTAAAATGTCAAAGGCTAATTATTTTTTTCACTTTTACTTTATTCATAGAAGAATCAGCACTATCCTCAGATTTGGCATCACAATTAAATATCACAAAATGGTTCCATCAGAAAGATACACCGCTAATGGTTGAAAAAATGAGTGACTGTGTCATAGCAGCAAAAATCTGCCAGGAATCTGAACATTGCACTTTTTTGTATGAGAATTTTAAGAAAATCTGTGGGAGGGGATCAGAACAATGTAAGACCCTTGATGGAAGCCACCTGTGCGCAGCATTAACAGAAAGCCTGAAAGAAACAATCTTATGGACTTGTCAGTGTAATGACCTTTCAGAAGTGGAGTGCATTGCAATTTGGAAGAGTTTGTTTGAAGACAATTGTATGCAGGATGCTCAAATGAATCACGTTCCAGCCTTCAATGAAGATTATGAAAATGGATTCAGCCAGGGCGTTGTTTCCGGTTGGTATTTAAAAGAATTTAGGAACCTTAAGTATAATCATAAATATGAGTTAACCAAAGCATATTTAATGTCTGATTCCAGCTCTGTCGTTTCTGCCTGTGTTTCTCCTAGGAAGGTAGATTTAAAAAGTTTATACTATGACTATGCCCAAATGAACGTTAATTCATTCATTTATTGAACAAATACTTGTGAGACATGTACAATGTGCTAGTTCCTATACAACAGGATTAAAAAACAAAACAAAAACTCTATATCTTTCATAGAAGGAGATTATTGGTTTTTTAGGGAATTTTAAAACTTAAAGCAATAGACCATCTTGGAAAGTGATGATGATTTCTTTATTTAATAGATATTTGTTTTGAGTGCCTACCATGCCCTAAGCCATATTCTAAGTGGGATACAGCAGTAAACAAAACAAAAATCCATAGAATCAGACTCTAAAACAAAAGTTTGCACACAGATACTGGGCTTTGAGCTCAGTAACAAAAGCAACAATGAAGAGAGGAAACCAGGATTAGGTAGAGGAAGAAGTTGAAATGCAACACAATGGCCATAGCAAATTTAGTTGATTCCACAAGAAGCATAGGCCTGGAATAGCTTTTCAGAGATATTATAGCCATTGGGGCAAGGGAGCTTCCTCATTCCCGATCCTTGAACCCATCAAATGGATTAGTTCTGAGATATGAGGTGTAATCTGAGTAAGTTTTTAACCTTGTGTGTGGCAGCTTTCTTTAGGTGAGGTCAATGCCAAGGACTGGTGTGACCCAGCAGTCATAACAGCAGGGGAAACTTGTACCTGGATCATCGATATATATACATATATATACATATATATATGTATATATATGTATATATGTATATATGTATATATGTATATATGTATATAGTACATACACTAGTACATAGTATAATTTAATTTTTATTGATTTCAGAGAGGAAGGGAGAGGGGCAGAGAGAGAGAAACATCAATGATGAGAAAGAATCAATGATCAGCTGCCTCCTACATGCCCCACGCTGGGGATTGAGCCCATAACCTGGGCATGTGCTCTGATCCCAGGAATCAAATTGTTACCTCCTTGTTGATGGATTGATGCTCAACCACTGAGGCATGCCAACCAGGTTTGAGATATATATTTCAAACACTATAAGTGTTAAAGAGAAAACAAATAGAGGTAGAAGAAATTAACTGGTTAAGTAGTTATTTTTTTTATTTTATAGAATGCCAGAAAGTTGTTGTGAAAAAAACAAATGTCTGAGTAAAGATTGCAAGTGGCAAGGGAATGAGTCATGTGGATATCTTGGGAAAGAGCATTTAAGGCAGAAGAAACAGCTAGTCCTGAGTTGGGAATATTGTAACAGTGGGAAATTGTAACCCATCCCACCATTCTTTTGACATTGTTTCTGTAAATGCTGACTCTGTCAAATATGTAGCTTGTAGAGAAACAGCATGTTTGTATAAAAATTCTAGGAACTAACTTCAGAAGATATAGACTGTGACCTTTAGTCATTGTAGTTCCAGAAGATTTACTTACCTTTAACCATAGAACCAACATGACAAAGACCAGGATGATGCATGCCAGATCATCACTTGAAAGGTTTTGAGGTCCTTATCAGAATGGACTGTGATGGCCTTTACATGGAGAACTTTTCATCTATTTCTTTGTTCTGCTTTGCCTCTCCCTCCTTATAAAAACCTTTGCCTACACTGAGATGTTGAGATGGGCTTTGGATAAGAGTTCGTCATCTTCTTGAGATGACAGTACTTGAATAAACCTCTTTGCTTTTTAACCAACACCTGTCTCACAAGTTTGGCTTTTGTGATGGATGTCAGGAAGTTGAACCTTAGTTTCAATATGCCTGGAGGTTTGAAGAAAAGCAACGAGGACATGAGCTAGAGCTGAGAGAGCAAGTGCAAAAGGTGTAGGAAATGATATCTGATATAAAAACAGGGGACAAGATCATGAAGGGCATTGTAGGTCATTTCAAAATGGTTGGCTCTACTTTAGGTGATATAGGAACCACTGAAGGATTTTGATCAGAAAATTGATAGGATCTGATTTATATCCTTAGCAGGATAATCCTCTTTTTTAAAATGTTGACAGCTCAATGAGGAGATGGAAAGGCCCAAGTGGGAAGACCAGGTAGGAGCTTTTATAATAATGCAGGAAAAAAAAAGAATGGATGCATATAGGAACTTGTCAGATTCTGGATATATTTTGATAGTTATGGGTCATATGGGAATGCAAGGGGAAAAATGGGGATTTGACCCCAACGATTTTGTGCTGAGTAATTAGAAGTGATCACCATTATTTATTTTTTTAACTACAGAAAAATGAGTCTTCAGTGAGGGGCAGAGGAAAGGTGAGAAGTGAGTTTTGGATGTGTTAAGTGTGAAATGTTTATTAGATATTCAAGTGAAGATACAAAATAGGCAGTTTTACATATAAAATTGATATCTAAATTCTATGCATGACATAAAAAATGAGATCTATTCAGTACTTAAAAATTGGATTGTCATTTACTTACAAATAATAAGACCATAGGACTAGATGAGGTCAACTGAAAAAAATGCATGGTGTCTTAAACCAGAGTGAGAACAGAGTGAGAAAATATCTGATTCTAGATATATTTTGCTGTTAGTGGATCAATAAGAAGAAATTGTATTTTTTATGTATATGATCCCATAACTGATTTAAATCTGGCTGTTGCATGATTCTCTTTATCTCCATGACATATTGCCCTTCAGCTCCTCTGCTGTAATTAGGTTAGAGTTTAAAATATCCTCTGGGAAAAAATGTGTATGTAACATATGAAATTAGAATTTAATGTACAGATAATTTACATAATACATTCCTCATAGCATAATATTGTATACATCCAAGATAGACTTATTTTCCCTTGCTAAAATAACTGTTCTGCTGTGTTTGTAATAATTATACATACAGTGAATATGTTACTCTGCTAGGGTTGCCATAACAAAATACAATCTGCTGGTGGCTTAAATAACAAAAAATTATTTTCTCAAAGTTTTGAAGGCTGAAAGTTCCTGATCAAGATCCATCAGGGTTGGTTTCTGTTGAGAGCTCTCTTGCCAACTTATAAACTTCCTGGTTTCTCGTTATGTCCTATTATGAAATTGTATGTTGTGTGTGCATGGATGGGGAAAAGGGAATAAGATCTCTAATGTTCCTTCTTAAAACAACACGAATCTTCAGATTAGCTTACCATGCTTGTATCATTTAACCTTAATTACTTCCTAGAGATATAATCTCCAAAGACAGCCACACTAGGTGTTAGGACTTCAATACACGACATTTGGAGGACCACATACATTCAGTCAGTAAATTCAATATTTATTTAGGTTTCAATGTTAGTTTCCTGAGTATGTTTTAGTCAGTGGCAATCAATTCCAAAGCAGAGGTATTAATCTATAATAGAAGGATTTTCCTAGGCTTCTGAATCTTTAGAAAAGCTCTATGACTCTCTGAGATTTGCTTATTGGAATTTATTCAATATGGGATGCTAGCAGAGAAGAAGAAACATTCTAGGCTTCTTTGGAGACATAGGAGAAGTGGATTCCTGAATAGATTAAGTCTCAGCTCAGTGGTCCTCGAGCTGCAATTTAATCAGTAGAAAAATGAAAAACTGTATAGTGAGAACAGACAGAATAAAACAAAGAATCTGGAAAGACTGTGACACATGGGGGTAAAAATAATTTTCTCGTGACTATACCATCATGTATGTGTAATAGATGGGCAGGCAGAAAGTTTGGACAGACAACTCAAGTAGGGACAAACAGCATTATGAAATGACATTTATGTGATAACAGAAGTCAATATATCAGCAACCAATAGGGAAATTGAATTTTTATCTATAATAATCAATAATGGTAAAAGCATAATATGCTAAATTAGACCAGACTGCCTAATGATCTTCTGGACATCATTCTGGATGTCCTTCCAACTGAAGGGGCGGTGCTGGGGGCTGAGGCATAAGTGGTTAGGGGCAATCAGGCAGGCAGGTGAGTGGTTAGGAGTAATCAGGTAGGCAAGCAGGGTGGTTAAGGGCAATGAGGCAGGCAGACAGAGTGGTTAAGGGCTATAGGCAGGCAGGTAGGTGAGCAGTTAGGAGCCAGTGGTCCCAGATTTGTGAGAGGGATAGCCGACTGCAGTTTTAGGCCTGATCCCACAAGGCAGTCAGACATCCCCCCGAGGGGTCCTGGTTTGTGAAAGGGTGCAGGCTGGGCTGATGGACCCCTCCCCCCATGCACGAATTTCATGCAGTGGGCCTCTAGTTTTATATAAAAACCAAATCATACTATTTCCTGTCACTTTGTTTTTTGTCATTGTGTGTATGTCTTTTCTGTTTATATATCTGTATTTCCTGCCAGGCTACGAAGGCTCTGAGACAGGGACTGCAGATGTGTATCTTTGATGTGGCACCTGATACATAGTAGGAACCCAACCAACACTTCTTGAAGATTTTAGAGTGAAAGCCTACTCAGTTTACTTCCATCCATAAGATCTTCCGATTTTATAATTTTAATTCCTAAGAACACTATGAAACTAAAATAATGAGAGGTGGAAATAGTTTTCAAATTGCATTTCAATCTAATTAAGACCCTACTGGGAAGTGTTTTTTGTTCAGACAATATTCCCTCTGTTTTTTCTCCCCAGACAGATTCTTTGTTTACTTCAGTGCACATGGCCTAGTCGTTAGCATTTGTTTAAACCTTCAAGTAACTGAATCCTCACAGCAGGGCTGTTTAACTCACTTGAATGATATTTCTGGGGTTTATTTTTCTTCATTTGTTCTTTGCTAATTTTGAGTATTAAGGGTTAAGCAAGTGTTACAGGAGCTTGCATGTATTTTTGTTTAACTACTCATAAATGTAGCCCACATTTTCCTATTAAATTTAGAAAATTGTTCACTAATGAAAGTCTTTGTTTTCCTTCTAGATAATATGAAAGAGGGTAATAAATTCAAGTAGAATCTAACCACTCTTTCCCAGCATGGTAATGTTTGTAATTTGTAACTTTAATTAGCATTCTAAAACCTGGACAATATAATTTAAAATATAGTTACAAAGCTCCTTAAAGATATTTCAATACAAAATAAATTGCGCTGCTCTTTGATAGCTTAAATATTACAAAATTCTCAAAATCATTGCATTTTTTACACTAATATATCAAAGCGACTGATTTGCCTACTTATCATCTATTTCCGGTTGTGCTGAGGAATACTTTACAATTAAAACCAAAGACTAGATCTTTGTTAAATTTTATGGATATTTTTATCCCATACATGAAATGGTTTTAGGTCAACCATTTATGTGTATATGTTCGTTTGTGTTGGGGGTGAGGGTGCACATAGTCCTGTGTTTTCTAGCATGTGAGCATCTTTATATGTTGGAATAACTATGTGGAGCCTTCAGTCATGATTTCCCTCCAGAATAAAAAGTGTGACAAAATAAGAATCATGTTCATTTGAGCCGATGAACTCATCATAAGCTATACAGCTCAAATGAAATTTCTGATTTATTGTTTACATTTGAGAAACTTGGACTCAAGGATTTTTCCTTCAGCTCAGTCTTGGCCCTACACACTGCTCATCTCTTATGGATTACAATACGTATCCAGTAGAGATGAAAGATGATTCCAATAGTCCACTATTCAGGTCTCAATGAATCCATATTACCTCTATAAAGAAATGAAATGTTTGCCCAAAATAGAACATTGGTACAAAGTTGTATTCTGCTTCTAGATGTCTCACAGTGTTTTGCAGATTCTGTAAAGACAGCTTAATGTTTACATTTTCACGACCTGGGCATGTCATTGCTTTCAGAAATGAAAGGGATCCGGTCCTGTTTGGAAGTGGCAGAGATGTGTGTAGGGGATGCGGTCTGTAATGCACAGTTGGCCCTGTACCTTAAAGCTTGCTCAGCAAATGGAAATCTGTGTGATGTGAAACACTGCCAAGCAGCCATACGTTTCTTCTATCAAAATATGCCTTTTAATATTGCCCAGATGTTGGCTTTCTGTGACTGTGCTCCATCTGATATACCTTGTCAGCAGTCCAAAGAAGCTCTTCACAGCAAGCCATGTGCAGTGAACATAGTTCCACCCCCTACTTGCCTCAATGTAATTCGCAGCTGCCGAAATGATGAATTATGCAGGTGAGTAAAAACACGCATACCTTACTTTCTTATTTCGGCACCTTATTTGTTACAGTCCAGTCCTAACACTTGATCTCATTACATTAGCTAGAGTTCCCACCATTACCCAACATGATGTAAACAAAGCCAGACAATTCATATTTTTGAATCTGTGGTACATGTGTAGTATCTTCTTTGAAATTCAAATGTGGAACATGTTTGGAATAAAAAATAATCAGTTTAAGTCAGGTTTTGATCACCATGAAAAAGCATTATTGAAATTATATATTCAAATTAGACTAATGGATAATGAACCTGACATCATGTATGTCAGTTTTTAATTTTCTTTTTGTCTGTGTCTGGAGATCAGAAAGGAGAAGTAGCTTGACTCCAGTTTGGATATCCCCAGCACAATTTTGGATACCCATGCCACAATGTCAGAAACACCCATTCTCTTCCCAACTTTATACCTTTGAGTCTAAAGGGGATAATGTTAGTCATTTATTTGTCTATTCAAACAAGTCGTGTCAAGCACCTTGGCATCAGTGTGCAAGAGACAAAAATGCCTGCCCTGTGGAGCTTATATTCTAGTTGGGGATACAGACAATGCATAAGAAAAATGTATATTATATTGTACTATGTTGTAAGATAATGAGTGCTCTGGATATTAACAACAACAGCTGCACTACAAAATTAAAAGGGCTTGTGTATGGCTGGAAAGAGTAGCAATGTAAGATGGTCCCAGGAGAGAGCATTTACCAGGGAAAAAGTGAGGGAAGTAATGAGCCTCCATCAGTAAATATCTGAAAAAAGAGATACTAAACAGACCAGCCAGTGCTGAGAAAGAAATGTGTGTGGCCTGTTACAAAGGTAATGAGGGCAGAGAGTGCAGGGGGAGAGCAATGGAGAAGTGGTTAGAGCTTTAAATTGCAGGGGTGGAATGGGACTAGATCACAGAGGGCCTTGAGGGCCACCATCAACTTGGGTTTTTCCTCCAAGTCAAATGGAGAAGCACTGGAGGATTTTGAGTGGAGGTATGAGTGATCTGGTTCACTTGTTAAAACTTCAGGTTCTTCTGTAATACTTTTACAGATAACTGCTCCTGGGAACCTTAACTCTAATCCAACACCATGACTATTCATTATCCTTACTGTGGTCATTAACACATTTCCTTGTATATTCGAGATGAATTTACCTTTTGTGTGGTAAAGAATCAGAAATCAAATTGGCCTCTTTGGGCAAAAGTAAGAAGATGGAGGGAAATATGAAAATACTAAGTAAATTTGATGGGACAAAACAAATAGTTTGCAACAACCAGCACTAAATTATATAATTTTTGAATTCTACTTTTGCTTCTCTTTTGAGTAAAACTTTATATTAATTTGTTTGCCTGGGGCACTTATCAGGGGCTATTATGTTTAATTGTATTCAAATAGATAAAACTTCATATATAGCAAATTAATTTAAATGTCAAGATACATATTTAGTATGGAGGGTTAGCTCAGCATATGATAGCTCAGAGCAAGATCTAGCCCATTTGTCACCTTGCTTCGATCACTGGCAAATGAACTAAAAGATTTAATGATAACTTTCTCGAGGGCTTGGTTCTTGGTAAACTCTGTTCTTTTGGCCTTGTCAAATGATGACTGTCCACCATCTTAACTCCTTTTCTCTCAGTCATTCTAACTTAAAAAGTAGCTCCAGATCTTATAAACATTTGTCAAAAAAAGACAACTGCTTCCCTATAGTACACATTCAGTAAGATAAAAGGTAAAGATCTACACAAAATGCTAAGAAATTCACATATTTTTGCTTCAACTTGTATAGAATGCCAAAGTTCTTCAGCAAATTTTATTTAAGGATTTTGTTTTATCAGTTATTTTAAGGTATATTAATAACTTCTCTTGGGTCAAAAATAATATTACAGATAAAAATATTTTATAATGCAATTTAGATTTTTCAAATTCATTTATATCTCCAAAATTCTTTTTTAGTAACATATTATATTTTATTGATCCTAAGACACAATTTTTATACGTTTTAATATTCCCAATATTTTGGGATGAGTCTTTAGCTCAATGATAAGAAAACATTAAGTTATAATAATAATTTAATTGCCAACAAGTGATTTCAGTTATAATAAATGAATACTGATATCTCTTCCATTCAATGAAATATGTTTAAAATGTTTGATTATACTAACAACATTTTAAGCAGCCAGGAGATATATTTTCATTTTTTAATCAAATATGTTTAAAATGTTTGATTATACTATTTTCTCATATTTTACAAGTAGAAATTACCATCTACCTATCAATTATCTATCATCCATGTGCACTAAAAATGAAACCTAACAACATTTTAAGCAGCCAGGAGATATATTATTATCATTCTTTAATATCAGATGTCTGCATGGATGGGCACCCAGTTTTATCTGATACCGCTGCAAAGACTCTAGATATACTACCTCATTATCCTAAAATACTTGCATTCAACCTTCAAAGAATGACACATCTAAGCTTCCCTATCAAAATAAATATTTTAATGGCAAGTAAATGGGGCTTTTCTGTTATAATCCTTGAGAAGTCCCCTGATGGATTCTGAAGCACACACTTTTGAAATAAACTCATCTTGGCATCAGATTGGTATTATAAATTTTTTTTTCTTTATTGATTAAGCTGTTATATATGTGTCCTTATTCCCCCATTATCCACCCATCTTCCCCACTCATGCCCTTATCCCCCTGTTGTCTGCGTCCATTGATTAGGCATATATGCATGCATACAAGTCCTTTGGTTGGTACATTTTTTGTCAAATTTCCTCCACAAAGAATCCCACGTTTCACCACCTCTCCAAAGTGCTTGGTTCAGGGTCCAGGACACAAAAGACATTCAAAAGTCACATGTTTTCCTCTATTTTTTTTAACATCTTACACTTTATTTTTATAATTTATTTATATACATATACATATCTCCTCTTATGTAATTTCTATCTTTCATAGATTAGAGTAAGGCTGTTTATTATCAATTTCTTTTCACCATGTGCAAATAATCCCTTAATGAATACTTTATAGAAGTGATGGAAATATTATACAATATTAGTAAGTCAAGGTGAAAAGAGAAATCTTGTCATTTTCTCAAGTAAATTTTGTGTTAGAGAGATTTCCAGCATTTATATTATGTTTTTGTTAATGTAATTCAGATGGAAAAAAAATCTCCCAGAGAAAAACTATTTCTTCAGTGTAGATATTAAGCCCTTTATCACTTCCTTCATTGGCTGAAGAGGCTGTATATGGGGAAAAGGAGAGCACTTGGGTTTGAAAATTATACTGCTGTTCCTGTTCCAAATTCTTCAATACATAATAGATTTGAAACTCCTTTATTTATTTAAATGAGCCAAAGGAGTCAATATAAAGACTATTTTTTCAATTAATTTTGTCCAACACAAATATATACTGGGGGTTGAGATTATGTTTTGCCAATTATAAACATTTAGGAACATACAGAAAATAATAATGCATTATAGATTTGTATTTATGAACTCAATAAAATAAGTAGGGAAAAGGAATTTGCTTAGAAAAAAAATCTAATAACTTTTAAAAAATTTTTTTTGAATATATTTTTATTGATTTCAGAGAAGAAGGGAGAGGAAGAGAGAGATGGAAACATCAATGATGAGAGAGAATCATTGATTTGCTACTCCTGCACGCCCCCTACTGGAGATTGAGTGCATAACCTAGGCATGTGCCCTTGACTGGAATCAAACCCAGGACCCTTCAGTCCACAGGCTGAATCTCTATCCACTGAGACAAACCAGCTAGGGCTCTAACAACTTAAAAATAAAATGGACAGTATTACAGATATCCCCCATTCCTCCCCTCCTTACCTCCTCCACTCAGGCCCTGCTCCACTCCAGGACTTCACCACACTACTGTCTGTGTGCATGGGCTATGCATATATGTATATAAGTTCTTTGGTTAATCTCTTCCTGTCCCTACCATGCCTCTCTCCTCTGAGATCTGTCAGTCTGTTCAGCATATATCTGGACCTGTTTTGTTCGTCAGTTATTTTGTTCATTAGATTCCACATCTAAGTATATCATTGAGATATGTCTCTCTCTGACTGGCTTATTTCCCTTAGAATAATAATCTCCAGGTCTCTCCACACTGTCCCAATGGGTAAAGTATCCTTTTTTATAGATGCATAGTATTCTATTATGTAAATGTACCACAGTTTTTTTTATCCACTCATCTATAAGCATTTAGGCTATTTCCAGATCGTAGCTATTGGAAATAGTGCTGCTATGAACATAGAAATGAATATATTCTTTCTGATTGGTGTTTCAGGATTCTTAGCATATATTGCTAGAAGTGAGATCACTGGATCAAATGGCAGTTGCATTTTTTAGTTTTTTGAGGAAACTCCATTCTGTTTTCCACAGTGGCTGTACCAGTATGCATTCCTACTAGCAGTGTACTAGGCTTTCCTTTTCTTCACATACTTGCCAACAGTTGTTGTCTGTTGATTTACTAATGATAGGCATTTTGGCATGTGTGAAACTACTACTACCTCGTTGTAGTTTTAATTTGAATTTCTCTGATGATTAGTGACTTAAGAGTATTTTTTTCATATGTCTATTGACCATCTGTATGTCCTCTTTGGAAAAGTTTCTATTCAGGACCTTTGCTCAATTTTTAATTGGATTGTTTGTAGGTCCTCTTTGGAAAAGTTTCTATTCAGGGCCTTTGCTTAATTTTTAATTGGATTCTTTGTCTTCCTTTTGTTGAGTTGTATAAATTCTTTATATATTTTGGAAATTAACCCCTTATCAGATATATTATTGGCAAGTATGTTCTCCTATACAATGTGTTCCCTTTTCATTTTGATGATGGTTTCTTTTGCTGTGTAGAAACTGTTGTTTGTTTTTAACTTTTTAGTTTGATATAGTTCCACTTGTTTATATTTTCCTTTGTTTCTCTTGTCCTAGGAGATATATCAGTGAAAATTCTGCTACATGAGATCTCTGATATTTTGCTGCTTGTTTTCTTCCAGAATTTTTAGTATTCTGTGACATGACTTACATTTACTTTTTTTTTTTTTTCTCCCATTTTGAGTTTATTTTTGTGTATGGTGTAAATTGATGTTCTAGTTTCATTATTTTCATGTACTTACCCAGTTTTTTCCAAAAATCATTTATTGAAGGGGCTGTCTTTACTCCATTGTATGCTCTTGCCTTCTTTGTCAAAGATTAATTGACTGTAATGGTGTAAGTTGACTTATGCGGTCTCTGTTTTGTTTCATTGCCTGTTCTTTTGCAGAACCAGATTGTTTTGATTATAATGGCTTTATAGTATAGTTTGATATCCAGTATTGTGATCCCCAAAGCTTTTGTTTCTTTTTTTTCTTTCTCAAGATTCCTGAACTATTTGGGGTCTTTTCTGATTACATATGTATTTTTGGAATATTTATTCTAGATCTGTAAAATATGCCATTATTGGTATTTTAATAGGGATTGTGTTGAATCTGTAGACTGCTTTAGGTAGTATGAACATTTTAATGATGTGAATTCTTCCAATCCATGAACATGGTATATGTTTCCACTTGTTTGTATTTTCCTTTATTTCTTTTTTCAATGTCCTAGAGTTTTTGGAGTATAGGTCCTTTACCTCCTTGGTTAAGTTTATTCCTCAGTATCTTATTTTTGTGTGTGTTTTATTTGTCTACTTTTTAAAAGTAAAACTTCACAATATGCACATTTATTTTAAGTATCATAAAACATTTATACAATTTGATTATATATTAGTTCACAAATTTACACAGACCACATTCTTTTACATTTTACAATGTAACTGGAAATCAATAGCAAAAATAACAAAACAATGAACTTCACTTAGAAATTATTTTAATCACTTAATGATTTGAACAATAAATAAAAATTGGAAATTGGAGAATATCAAGAAAAGGATAAATAAACAAAATTTTTATAATATAATTTTTGTCATAAAATTTATTTCAAATGATTTGTGTATCAAAGTATTTGTGTATTTTTATTATTTTTAATATTTAATTATATATCCATTATTCATCACGTTTAAAAAATTTTATAACTAATTTTCTGAATGGATAACTTGTGTGATAGATAAATCTTGCAACTTAAGTAATGTTTAATTAATTTTAAAGAGAGAGAGACGGACACGGATTTGTTGCTTCACCCATTCATCCACTCATTGGTTGCTTAGTGTATGTACCATGACTGGGATTGAATCTTCATGTGGCCAAGGCTCTAACCAACTGAGCTACCCACCCAGGGCTTCATGCAACTGAAACTTAGAAAAACATATTTTTAATGGCACCTAGATACAAATTTATTCTCATTCAAATCATTAATGATAATCAACACTATTTATATATATTTTATTGATGTCACAGAGGAAGGGAGAGGGAGAGAGAAATAGAAGCATCGATGATGAGGGAGGATCATTGATAGGCTAACTCCTACATGCACCCTACTGGGGATTGAGCCCGCAACCCAGGCATGTGCCCTTGACTGGAATCAAACTTGGGACCCTTCAGTCCGCAGGCTGAAGCTCTATCCACTGAGCCAAACCAGCCAGGGCAATACTTACATTTAGATAACATCTTATGAATAACCCATAATTGCATTAAAGGAATATATTTGTTCTTCTGGCATCAAAATTATATATTCAAACTTTTTATTGTATTTCTTTGTGTATAAATTAATTTTGCCAATGTATTGAAAAGCTGATTTTTTAAGGTGACATAAAATATGAGATTATTGAAAATAATGTGGCTTATGGTTTTAGCAGAGTAGCACCATGTAGACAAATAAGCTCATGACAAGTATGTATTCAGATGGTTTTCATGCAGATTTAATGGTGACCTATTCTATAAAGGGTAAAAAGTAATTTTAGGTGATAAATATTAAGTAGGAAGATTAATATCCTTGGTTCCACTGAGAGGAATATCCTATTACTGTGGAAATTTCAAATATGAAATTATTGAACATTACTGAGATTTTTATTCATTGCTAGTACAGCACAAATACAAGGTCAGGAAAGTTATGAATGGATGTGGTTCTAATGGATTATGTTGGCAATTAAATAAACTCATAAATTTTTGCTTTAAATTAGCTGTTACAGCCAGAGAAACTCAAAGCATTTTAAAAATTCTAATTGGTCTCCTTAGAAATGTTAAGAAAGAATATAATACCTCCCATCCTGTGGGAAAAGAGGCTGAAAAGGTCAAGAGCCTTATCTAAAATCACTTGGTGTGAAACAGTGGCCAACTGCTAGTCAACCAAAACCACATTCTGCTTCAAAAAACACTGCTAATAAATCTCCCCTGTAGTTCAGACTGCAAATCATCAGCCATTGAGAGAAAATTAGTAATGAAGGAAAATTCATCCAGGGAATCGTAAACTTAGCCTCTGTCTTTCATCACACGAGGAAATTCACAAGGTTTCTCTACTTTTCCTTCCACACTCTTCTGCTGGGATATTCAAATGTACAGACTTCGTTTTCAGCTATGTACTGGCATCTAAGCGGCATTGTGTTTGATGTCAGTCTTTCCTTAGCTGAGGAAGCACCGCATGCTAATGTGAAGGAATATCATTCAGAGACGAAGTACATTTCTTGACTCTTTATAGGAGGCGCTACAAGGCATTTCAGTCAAAATGCTGGCAGCCTGTGCCTAGAAAGTGCCACGAAGATGAGACTTGCATTAGCACCTTGGGCAAGCAGGACCTCACTTGCTCAGGAAGTGATGACTGCAAGGCAGCGTACATGGGCACCTTTGGGACGGTGCTTCAAGTGCAGTGCACCTGTAGGACCATTCCACAGAGTGAAGAATCTTTGTGCAAGATTTTCCAGCAGATGCTTCACAGAAGATCATGTTTCAGTAAGTGATACCTATTCAGTAAATTATATATAATATATATTTATTGACCAGCACCAAGTAGTAATTCAGCACAGAAAGTTTGTGCACAAAGATAACTTTGTCTGCTATTTATTTTTAAAAAAATATATTTTCTGATTATGTTTTGTGCATTTGGTATTTTACTCACTTGTCTATATGTGTTATATGTTTTTAACTTATGTTACTGGTCATTCTTAGATATTATTTATTGATTTTGATATTGAACAGCATAAAATATTTATCCTACCAGATGGCTGAATGTTTTAGGTATTTATTGTAAGAAATAAACCACCCCAAAATGTAGGGACTAGAAATAAGCATATATTTACTCACAATTCTTCACACTGGGCTTGGCTCAGTGGGGTGATTCTGGTGATGATCTGGGGTCGCTTGTATAGCTACCATCATCTGGTGGCTCAACTGAGGCTAGGCAATGCAAGATGGCATTTTTATTGATTTCATAAAGGAAGGGAGAGAGAGATAAAAACATCAATGGTGAGAGATAATCATTGATCGGCTGCCTCCTGCATGCCCCACACTGGAGATTGAGCTGCAATCGAGGCATGTGTCCTAAACAGGAATCACACTGTGATCTCCTGGTTCATAGATCGACGCTCAACCACTGAGCCACACCAGCCAGGCTCCCCTTGTTTTTAATATGTCTGTTGACTTAGCTGTAATGATGAGATGGAAAACATAACTTTCTAAAGTTATTATTTACTCAATTTTGGAAATAAGAACACTGAGATTTAGGAATTTAAATAATTTGCCTAGCTTCTTAAATTAAGCAAGTGGTTGAGAGGGATTTGTCTGGGAGTCTTACAGAAAGAACCTCAGGAAATTATCATATACTAATTCAAGGCCTCTCCATTGCCCATATTCAGGTTCAGTCCATGCAACCACCCAAATTTCAAAACATCCCCAGACCTCTAGGCCCCTAGTAGAAACCACCAAACCTGCAAACACCATTTCTAGGAGGAAATAACAGATGTTTCATGGAAAACCAAGCCTCTATATTTATGAAAAATATTTGAGAGATACAACCACATATGTATCTATATCTATACCTATACATTGACGTAGTTAACTATATACAGGTACACAGACATTTTTAATTTTTCTATATTTCTTAGCAGATACAAATGTGATTATAATTATGATTTGTTGTGTATTAGGTAAGAGACATACAATTTGGTATATGGTTTTGATTTCAACAGAGCCCTCTGTGGAATATCTACAATTTTTATAATTAGCACTAGGGACATATTTCAATTGAAACATGACATAAAGAGGAAAAATGCAGCATGGTATATGTTGAATCTTAGTTTCTAAATAATCATGCTCTCTGATTAATATTAGGTGGCTAATTCTGTTGGAAGTAAATGTATTTATAATGAACAGCTCATAACATTATAGAAAGAAATAGCAAATAAAATAATTGAGACAGATAACATATAGTTACATCATCATGGTTATTTTTACTTGGTTTCTCCATATTAAATGATAGCCAGGAAACGAAAAAAGGTAGATTCTACAGGTTAGAGATAATTCTGTTCCTGAGCATAAGTTCCCTCAAAATATCAGTCCCAGCAATTTAATTCTAGTTCTAAGCCTATTTTTCTTCCATGCATTTTTAATTACTGTAATATTTTACTACCACGTGTTTAGCTACTCTAACCTGTACAGAGCAAAAATATTTTTAGAGAAACAGTAGAAATCCATAAACATTGAAGTAGTAGTAACAATGTAAAAAAAAAAATCTAAAACTACTTCACTTTCTTCACTCACTAAACTTTATGAGCTTTGCTCCTCAAACATTACCTACTAAAAGCAGGAATTTTAAGTGACAGGTTTATAGACTTAAAAGAACCTTACAGGCCTTCCGTCACATTCTCCATAGTTGAATTAAGAGAAAAAGTTTCAAACAAAAACAAGAACCAAATTCTGAGGCCTGGCTAGTTCTAACGTCTTTATCCCTGTCCCATATGCTTGGGACATAGCAAAAGCACATGTTTGAATGAGCTGGCTCTCTCTCCATTGCCTCCCGATTTCTCACATCACCTCAGCATGCTCCTGCATTATCAAAAAGATCTATCATTACAGCATGCTTCCAAAGCCTTAGAGCTTTGGCGCACTGTACTTGAAAGAGGCAGAAATGAGTAGAATTGAGAAGACAATTGGGGAAGAGTTTCTGTTTTGCACATTTGTTTGGCTTAAAGCATTGTTTTTCAAACTCACTTAACCTGAGACCACAGCAAGCAATGAATTTTCCATTAGCTCTTTATATGCAGTGTCTTCTGTATATGTGTTTTTAATTATTGTTTTTTCTATTCCATTAATTATTTTCGATGTTGACTACTACCCACTAAATGGATTTTATAACTCACTAATGTGTTTCTCTCTGAAGTTTGAAGAACACTTGCTTGGAGCCTGAATTCAGCTGGAAATAATTTGCATGAATGTGACCAAGTGCATCTTTTAATATTATAATTATGAAGTTTAGTGAGTGCTTCATTCTGGTCACATTTTCTTACTTAATCCTAATAATTTCACGAGCTAGAAGCTATTATATTCTTTGTTTCACACACAAGATAAAGGAAGCTAAGAGATTCAATGCCTTCCTCAGGGTTCTGTACCCCGAGTGCTGTAGACTCAGGATGCTAACTGGCAGCCCACTGTGTCTTCCTGTCTGTGAAACAACAGACAGCAAGCTTGTGTCCCTTCAGTGTGCTACAAAGCCTCCTCAGGCAGAACCTCTCAGTTCTGGTCTCAGAATTAAGCTTTGAAAATGTGCCAGATGCCGAAACCAGTTTGGCTCAGTGAATAGAGCGTCGGCCTGTGGACTGAAGGGTCCCAGGTTCGATTCCGGTCAAGGGCATGTATGTACCTTGGTTGTGGGCACATTCCTTGTGGGGGGTGTACATGAGGCGGCTGATAGATGTTTCTCATCGATGTTTCTAGCTCCTATCCCTCTCCCTTCTTCTCTGTAAAAAATCAATAAAATATTTTAAAAAAAAGAAAAGAAAAAGAAAATGTGCCAGAGAGCCCACCTCCCATGCAGGAACAGACTTAGGCAACGCGCATCCTGAACAAAGTGTATGTATTCAGCCACCAACTTCCCTTTAATCACTAACCGCTGGATCCTCACAGATTTTCTCCCTCCTGGTGTCCTGCAGCACAGAGCAAATATGTGGCAGGTGGAGCTGATAGAAAGATGAAGGAAATGGAACAGAGACACATTGATTAGTACAGAGAGGACTACAGAGAGAGAAAAGTTAAAGGATGATTACTGTGTTGCTCAGCTACATTGAGGGATTCAGTCACTGACAGGAAGGTGCTCTTGTTGCATTACTTAAATTGCCTTTTCTCTTGCCAACTCTGAAAGAGATTTGGGAATATTCCTATTCTGTCCATAAAAACTCAGTTCCTTTTTTTTGATGAATTATTTTTAAAAATAAAAATGAAAAGAGACTACCTACTTATTAAATCCTACAGGGAATAGAAGGCATAGCAATACACATATGATAGATATAAGCTGAGACAATTTAAGAGTACAGAAATAAAGATAAATCTTCCCCCTATTCCATTCTCTAGAAAGTCAACTTTCAGAAGTTTGATGAACATTCTTTCAACCCCCCCCCCTTTTTTTTTTACTTTGAACCTTTTAAATACATATATAGCTTGACTACCTTGTATACATCCAAACGGGAGCCTTCCTCATCTTGACACACACATACACACATACTTTTAATGTAATAATACAATACATTCTGCTTTAGAGCTTGCTTCTTAACTTAAAAATATGATAGACACATTTGCAAGTATGTACATATGTGATGGCTCAATTCTTTATAAAGTTTGCATAGTATTCTATAGTATTTGTATGTATGTATATACATACATATGATTATTTAATTACTCTATGAATAGAATTTTGAAATGTAAGATTGGAGTAGATCTTGGATGATGTGCAATCCAGATTTTATGGTGCCTGTAGGAGACAGGCAACCTATAAACTATAAAGATTGATTACTATTTCCTGCTATCTTTCCCAACAGGAACACCCACACTCCCTCCCCTAACACACACACACACACACACATTATATACTGTAATAGAGACTTCATAACCTCAATAAAAACTCTCATTCAAAAATAAGGAAATGTGGGAAAGTTAGTAATGGGATCGTTCTTGGCAGGCCTTATGAAGCTTCCCTGGCATTGTGGATATTTTTGGCCACCTGGGAAGAACCACTTTTTGTGCCTATAATTTTTACCCTCTGGGAGTTTTTCCCTGTCCACCTTCCTTTATAGCCATACCCAAATTAGGTCCTGGGGAGTGTGCCCTCCCTAGGAATATGGTGCTCTCAGAGATCATAACAGTTTGAGGGACTAAAAGCTGTTTTGGAGCCACACACTTTTTACAAGCAGACTGGTGACTTGTTTGGCATTATAATCTCTTTAAAATGTGTTAGATTTCTCATCTATTTGCTTTTAGTCAGTTACATTGGCCGATACCCATAAAAAAAAAAAAAAGTTTTCTTGACTTAGTTCCCAAATCTGCTTTATTTCCCAAGTCTGCCTTATTTCCTTGCTTCCTCAATCCAACTTAATGATTTAAATTAATTTAATGATTTAAACTAAACAATGGACTTGGGTGAACATGTAATACCCTTAATCTGTTTTTTGCTGCCTACCGTGTTTCCCCCAAAATAAAACATCCTCCCAAAATACAACCTACTTACAGGTTTCCTTCTGAGTGAAATATAAGGTATCCCCCCCCAAAATAAGGCCCCGCTAAGCTCTGTCTCAGAATGAAAATTAATTTACCGTAAACTGGTCTCTAGGGCCGCCCCAACTGGCGTCTAGCAACCAGTGACATTACACAGAGTCCTGAAGTCACTGCTGTGTGGAGGCAGAGCAGAGGTCGGAGTGAGCAGTGAGCGCGAGGTGGGAGAGTGGAGGAGACTTTCGCAGATGCAT